CCTTCATGGTCAGCGGGACTGAGTGTGAGGAGGTGTGGCCTGAGCCCATCAACCAATGACCTCTTCTGACCCGAATGACCTCCCTGACCCTAAGCACTTCCCTGACCTGAAATCCCTATGACCTTTCTGCCCTTGGGACATACCCTGATCTAACAGTGTCCTATGAGTCCCCTGCCCCTGAGGATTTCTATGACCTCTCTTCCCCCCACTGACCCCTGATGACCTCCCTGACTCTATGACCTTCCTCTCAGTGCTTTCTGACCTGCCACAAGCGCTGCCTGGAGACTCTACTGATCCTCTGTGGACATAAGCGCCTCCCAGCCCGGACCCCCCTCTTTGGAGTCGACTTCCTGCAGCTGCCCAGGGACTTCCCGGAGGAGGTGCCCTTTGTGATCACCAGGTGCACGGCTGAGATAGAACAGCGTGCCCTGGGTGTGCAGGTGCTGCCCTGACTCTTGACCACCCCTAGTAGTGACCCAGCCCTCTTGATAGCCAGACCGGAAGTCAAGTATCTATTTCCTGCCCCTGCCCTGCAGGGCATTTATCGGGTCAGCGGGTCCCGGGTCCGTGTGGAGCGGCTGTGCCAGGCTTTTGAGAATGGTCGAGCACTGGTGGACATGTCAGGGAACTCGCCTCATGATGTCTCGAGTGTTCTCAAGCGGTTCCTCCAGGAGGTGGGTACTCAATGCTTGGGGGCAGGGGCTGGGCGGGCTCAGGCTGAGGGCCCTCTGCAGCCCACCTATACCCATGTCCCTCCCCCCATTCCACCCCCAGCTCACTGACCCCGTGGTCCCCTTCCACCTCTACGACGCCTTCATCTCTCTGGCTAAGACCCTGCATGCAGACCCTGGGCACGACCCTGGGACCCCCAGCCCCAGCCCTGAGGTTATCCGCTCGCTGAAGACCCTCTTGGTGCAGCTGCCTGACTCTAACTACAACACCCTGCGGCACCTGGTGGCCCATCTGTTCAGGTGTGCACTGTCCCTGACCTTGAAATGTGACTTCTGACCTCAGCCACAGATTTGTGACTGTGTCTGTGGACATGTCACATGACTACTGACATGACTACTGACTTCTGGGACTGACCCCTGACACTGACTTCTGATCTTTGCATGTGTTTTCTGAGCTCTGAATCTTAATACATGACTCCAGACTTTGGGGGCTCACCCCTGATCTCCACTGCTGGGCGTGTAGCTGCTGGTCTCAATGACTGGGACCACTTACCCATGACTTGGGCAAGTTGTCACTAGCCTAGCCTACTAGCCTCGCCTTCCTGATGGCCAGTGACCATCCATTCCATGCCCTGATCTTTTTCCTCATACCATCCCCAGGGTGGCTGCACAGTTTGAGGAAAACAAGATGTCTGCCAACAACCTGGGCATTGTGTTTGGACCAACACTGCTGCGGCCACCGGACGGTCCAGGGGCAGCCGGTGCTGGCTCCGTCACCTGTCTACTAGACTCGGGGCACCAGGCCCAGCTCGTTGAGTTCCTCATTGTATACTATGAGCAAATCTTTGGGATGGACGACCTCCCTGTGGCCACTGAGCCTCCGCCCCAAGACCCCAGTCCGGCTCCTGGGCCTCTCACAAACAACCCTCAACCACCACCCTCCAACCTTGCCCCAGATCCCCTGCCCCTAGTCCTAGCCTCGGACCCCGACCCAGACTCTGAGCTCCATGGTACCTTGGAGAAGCATCCTGAGGCCACGCCTCCTGAGGTAGGAACCCACTGGGCCCGCAGACAGGAGGAGGGCCTTCTCTCCATTTAATCCTCTCACTTTCCTGTCTTCCTTCCTTTCTTTGCCTTTAAAATGTTCTCTTTCATTCCCTCTCTCCTTACACATGAGGAATGAAATGGTGAGTAATAATAATGAAGGTAATAATGGAGGAACAACAGGGTACAGCTCTGCAGAGTTACTAACATAGGTGATTATTTATTCTTTCAACAGAATGTTTATTGAGCATTTACTATGTACCAAGTATTGTTGTAGTAGGCATTACCAATACATCAGTGAGTAAATTATTCAGAGACCCCATCCTTATGGTAACTGCAGTCCAGCGGGAAAGAAACCAACAACAAATAAGAAATATGGTATAAAGTCAGTTTATAGGGCATTACAAGGTGACAAGTACTATGGAGAATAAAAGAAAGGGTAGCATACGGTAAGAGACATTGGGGGTACCAAGGAGAGGCAGAGGGAAGTTTGTAGCAGTAAATAGGATGCTGTGAGCAGATCTCATGGAGAAGGTGGATTTGAGCAAAGACTGGAAAGATGTGAGGGAGGAATGAGCCAGGTGGAGATCCGGGGAAGGGTGTTCTAATGGGAACAGCCAATGCAAAGGCCCTGAGGTGAGAGCATGCCTGGTGTGTGTAGGATGTAGCCTTGAGTTGTAATGAATTAGTGAAGAGAAGGTGGTAGAAAGTGAGGCCAAAGAGGGGTCTGTGGAATGCCACACATAGTGCACTTACTGTGCATGGGCATTTTATAGGCTTCCTATCATCTCTACTGCAGCCCTGAGAGGTAGATACTGTTAGTGAAAACCATTTACAGATGAGACTCCTACTAATGGCTTCCCTGCCCCTCAGATCCTGCTACACACACCATTCCTGAGAGCATGTGCCTCCCCTCACAGCAGCCCAGAGCTGGCAAAGGGCCTGTCAGTGAGCACTGGGTCTCTGAGAAATGGAATGGCTCAGAAAGTGCTTGGAACATGTAGAAAGAACTCCAGCTGCTATTAGCATTTAGCTAAAGAATAAACTGAAGGATGTACAGATAAATTAAAAAGTGGAAAAAAAAAAGTGGGTGTGAGGTTATAGAGCAGAGCAGAATGGAGACAGATAGTTCACCTGGTCCTAATGCGGACATGGCTAAGTCACTCCCTGGCCTGGCTCTCTGCTGAGCAAGGGCGTTCCTGCCCTCATGGAGTCCACAGTTGAGATGAATAATATTGTTCTGCACAAGGAGACAAGCTGTACTGTTAAAGGCATCACCTCCCTCAGATACCAAAACTGGCAAAAGACCTTTTACATGTCCAGAAAAAAACCCTCAGCTCTCAGAGAACCTCAAAGAACTGGGATTTTATTATTGGGGTTTTGGTCTTGGGTTTGTTCCTACAGATTCCAACTCCACAGAGTGACCACAGAGAAGTGGCTGAGGACACAAAAAAGGAAGAAGAGGAAGGTGAGTATGTTGGGGGGTAGCCCAGGAATCAGAGGGGTGTCCTTGCCTGGGATAGCTTGGCTGAGGTTTGACTCCCAGGTTATATCCAGAGGACTCAGGGGTGCTCAGCATTGACCATCCCAACCCACAGTGTCCAGCCAAGGTCCAGAGGACTCACTCCTGGGGACTCAATCCCGTGGCCACTTCAGCCGCCAGCCAGTGAAATATCCCCGGGGTGGAGCGCGGCCTATCACCCACCAGCTGTCCAGCTTTGCCCTGGTAGCTTCCAAATTGTGTGAGGAGACCCCTATCACATCAGTGACGCGAGGGAGTTTGCGGAGGCGAGGACCTGGCCCTGTCACCTCCTCGCCTGAGGGCAGCCCTCTGCGCCGCACCCCGCTGCCCAAGCATTTTGAGATCACCCAGGAGACAGCCCGGCTACTCTCCAAGCTACCCAGCGAAGCTGTGCCCAAGGCCACCTGCTGCCCAGACCCCCAACCTGAGGAAGCTGAGGACCATCTTTGACCATCCCAGCCTTCTGACCAAGGGGGAAAGGACTGAGAAGGTGTTCAGTGTTGGGGGAACTGGAGAGTTCCTGCAAGGAAAGACTACATGGCCTGGGAGACTAAAACCCCTTTTGAAGCAATATACCAGTATTCCCCCACTAGACATAGGTCACTGCCAAGCATCAGGGCCACTCAGGTTCAGAGGTTAGTCAGGGTCAACACTCAGGGTCATTACAAGTCATGGGATCCTTGGCATCCACTCTAGTCTCTAACCCCTGGGACAGGGGTACCTTTTGCTACTTTGGTTGTAGCCACTCCCCCACCTCTGCCTGCCTCCTTAGCTGCCTCAGGTGAGCAGCTCTTGGAGGGAGTGGGCAGCCCAGACTCAACATCCTTGTGGCACCTGGGGCCTGACGCCTGGGAATAAACGGTGTCCTTTATACCCTTGAGTGTCTTTTTTTTTTTTTTTTTTTTTGCCAGGAAAGGGTGATGAGAGAGAGAGAGGGGAGGGCAGCATCCTTTGGCCCCACTTTACCCACTGGCGGAACTAAGGCCCCCTCTCATCCCCAAACATCCTTGAGCACCTACAAGAAGTACGGGCTGGGCCCGGGCACCCGGCTGAGTCACAACGGCCCGTCCCTCCCGGAGCTCCACGTCCCCGATCCGGTCCTGCATAATCAAACAAATATAACAAAGTGCAGATAACCGGGACAATGGGGCTGTGTGCTCTGGGCCGTGGGAGCCTAGGGCCGCCATAAGCCGGGCCGGGCAGGGGGCAGCGCGGCCGCGGGCGGAGGGCGTGGGGGTGGGATTTCCAGAAACGAGCGCGGCCCGAGGGTCAGCTGGAGGGTCAGCCGGGGCCGGAGAGGTCCGTGGGGCCCCGGGGGCCGCGCGCGCGGTACCTCGGGGCCGGGGAAGCGGAGGCGGGGCGGGGGTCCCGGCGGTGGGAGCCCGGTCGGATCAGGGCGTGGCTTGGAGCTCGGCGACGGATTGGACGGCGGGGAGCGGGTGGGGTGGGGCCGGGCGGGGGCGCGGACCCTGAGACCACCCGGAGCTGCGCCCAGGCGGCGCGAGGTCACGGCGGGGACCTGGTGCGGTGAGTGACTCAGCCCCCGGGGGGCTAAAACTGTGCGTGTGAGGCGGGCGAGGACGGGGGCGGGGGTCCCGCGCCGGAAGTGGAGGGGCGACCGCGAGGCCGGGAGGAAACGGTGGGGGGCTGCGGTTCCGGGAGACCCCGCCCCGACCGCGCCGGCGGAGGCGAGATGCCCCCAGGTGGCGGGGGCGGGGCGGGGCTCCCCAGGTGGCGGGGGCGGGGCGCCGCGCCCAGGCAGGGGCGGGACCCCGCCCTCCGGCTCTCGGCGCCCGCGCCCAGCGCACCCGGACGCTCGTCGGCTCCCGCGGTGGTCCCCGGGCTATGGGTCTGGGGCCTGCCCCGTCCCCCCGGGAGGCCGCCCGTCTGCGACGTGACGGGCCGCCCAGAGGAGGCCGGTACTGACGGTGGCGGGTGGGCGCGGGTCCCCGGGAGGGCGCGGCACGTGCCTGCGGGGCCCGGGCACCGCCCCCTCCTCCCCTTCGCCCCAGCTCCTCCTGCAGCCTGGGGGCGCCTGGAGGCCCAGCGGCCGCCGCCTCCCTGGCCGCCCCCTTTGTCTGGGAGACCGCCAGGGTCCTCCGTCCCACCCGTGACTGCCCGATACCCCGCCCGCCTCGGGAACGCTCGCGCCCGGAACCCGCCGCCCAACCTCTGGGGCCGCGTCGCTGCCGGCTCTGGTGGACCCGGTCACTTCCACGCTCCAGCACGGACCGCCTGCAGGGTCCCAGCAGCGACTCCACCCTGCTCACACACGCCCCTTGGGCTCTACTTTCTGCACTGATCCCAGCACCGAGCGTTCCGTCCCTCACCCACTTGCACAGCTCCTAGCGCTTTGTCCCTCCTTCCCCGCCACCCACCCCCCCAGTACAGATTGGGCGCGCTCGGGTAGTAGATGATTTTTTGTTGTTTTCGTTTGTTTGATTTTGCTCAAGTCAAAACAAACAGCCAGTCATTTGATTTGCGGGGATAATCTTTGTAAGGGTCTTATTAGTAAATGAGCAACAGCTGCCCATCCCCCACACTTCCACCAGGGAGCTTGCTTTCCGGGTTACCCTGGGCTCCACCACTGCCACTTTACCCCGAGTCTGAGACCCTTGCCCTTCCTGTCCTGACCCCCACCCTCACTGGCTGCTGCTCATTCCTGTGTCCTTCGAACAAATGCCGCCTATACTGACCTCTCCCTCTGTGCCCCCAGATGGTCACCATGGGCCAGTGCTACTACAACGAGACCATCGGCTTCTTCTACAACAACAGTGGCAAGGAACTCAGCTCCCACTGGCGGCCCAAAGATGTGGTTGTGGTGGCCCTGGGGCTGACAGTCAGCGTGCTGGTGTTGCTGACCAACTTGCTGGTCATCGCAGCCATTGCTTCCAACCGACGCTTCCACCAGCCCATTTACTACCTGCTTGGCAACCTGGCCGCAGCTGACCTCTTTGCTGGTGTGGCCTACCTCTTCCTCATGTTTCACACGGGCCCTCGCACGGCCCGGCTCTCACTGGAGGGCTGGTTTGTGCGACAGGGCCTGCTGGACACGAGCCTGACGGCATCGGTGGCCACACTGCTAGCCATCGCTGTGGAGCGGCACCGCAGCGTGATGGCTGTGCAGCTGCACAGCCGCCTGCCCAGAGGCCGAGTCGTCATGCTCATCGTGGGGGTGTGGGTGGCTGCACTGGGCCTGGGGCTGCTGCCGGCCCACTCCTGGCACTGCCTCTGTGCCCTGGACCGCTGCTCACGCATGGCCCCCCTGCTCAGCCGCTCCTATCTGGCTGTCTGGGCCCTGTCCAGCCTGCTTGTCTTCCTGCTCATGGTGGCTGTCTACACCCGCATTTTCTTCTATGTGAGGCGGAGGGTGCAGCGCATGGCAGAGCACGTCAGCTGCCACCCACGCTACCGAGAGACCACACTCAGCCTGGTCAAGACCGTTGTCATTATCCTGGGTGAGTGAGTGCCCTCAGCTGGCCCAGGGTTGCGGGAACCCTGCTCCCCCCAACTCCCACAAGGCATGGGAGGGCATGATTTGGGTGGGGAATGTTCTCCAAGGAGGTGACATCTGAGCAGAGACCTGAATGCTGGGAAGGGAAGAGTTCCAGGCAGAGGGAACAGAAGGTGAGAGCCCCGCAGGACTGGGCTGTGCCTCCAAAGAGGAGAGGAGGCCCGTGTGGCTGGAGAGAAGCAGGAGAAAAGGTCAGCACCGCCTCGAAGGGCACAGGCAAGAGTCAGATTTTGTTCTGAGTTCTGTGGGAAGCCCTCAAGAGTTCTTAGTAGGGAGTAATGAAGTCAGTCTGGCTGTAGAGTGGTCTGAGTGGGGGAGGTAGCCAGGTTATCCTGCAAGGATACACTTCCCTACCCCTAAGAACAAGGAGTGACTCTTCCCTATGACCCCCTTTCCCCACACCAAGTAACACCTCTCCCACAATGACCTCCTTCGCCCCAATAGAACAAATTTTCATGTAGAAATGTCCAGCACCCTGTCTACCGTGTACCAGGTTAGGAAAGGCATCCCTTCTGGCAGATAAATCAGAGAAAGGTGTCAGGCGGTTCTTGCCCTGCAAACTACACGGCTGTTGTCTGAGCTCTGGAGATCCTTCCAGGCCTGAGCTCTGACCTGTGGGTTTTGGGCCCCAATAGCTAGCCCTGCTCACCTCAGGCTCCATCCTACAGGGGCGTTCGTGGTCTGCTGGACTCCAGGCCAGGTGGTGCTGCTCCTGGATGGTCTGGGCTGCAAGTCCTGCAACGTCCTGGCGGTGGAGAAGTATTTCCTACTCCTGGCCGAGGCCAACTCACTGGTCAACGCCGTGGTGTACTCGTGCCGAGATGCTGAGATGCGCCGCACCTTCCGCCGCCTCCTCTGCTGTCTGTGCCTACGCCGGTCTACCCACGAGTCTGCCCGCTATGCACCCTCCACCCGAACAGGTGCCAGCACTCGCATCATGCTTCCTGAGAATGGCCACTCCTTGATGGACTCCACCCTTTAGCCAACCTGGCACTTCAGTGGGGTGCTGCAAATGCCAGATTATGGCCTCCGACCACTGGTGAATGCACCTGGCTCTACCTAAGCTGCAGGACAGACCTTCAGTCTGCCATGGCACAACTCCACTGCCAGCCTGCCCCAGGGCCTGGGGGAGTGGGGTCATCTCTCAATGCCCAGGAGAGAGTCAGAAGGGATTCAGGAATCTGCCCTTCAATCATCTCAGGTTGTGGGGGTTTTTAACCGACATTTTCTATTTTTACCGCTCATCCCTGGTAAACCCTGTGGACTATTTCCCTGTCTGTGGTGGTGTGGGTGTTTAAGATGGGAGAGATGAGAGCTCTCTCAGGCCACTCTGCTCAGTGCGACAGGGTGACAAGGATGGACCATGGATGCACTATCTGCCTGAATCTGATTCTTCAGGGGTGCAGACTGAGGGGTGCTGAGCATGAGCTGGGAAAAGGTTTGTGGACCCTTGCAGCCTCTGGGGTCCTGCCTGTCCCTATTAGAATTGAGGAGTTTGTGGGGAGAACGTGCTATAAGGAGTAAACCTTTCTCTCTGCTGAGGTCTTCAGAGCATTTTGTCATCAACTCAGATGGTCCATCTGTCCCTGTGTCCAAGAATTGTGCACCTAGGCTTGGGCTAGGCTGGGATCTCCTCAGCCCTAGTTCTCTTTTTCTCTTTGATCTCTGTACAGCTGTTACTCCCTCTCTCTCTTTTTAAAGTAAACTCTCTACCCAACATGGGACTCGACCTCACAACCGTGAGATCAAGAGTGGCATGCTCTACTAACCGAGCCAGCCAGATGCCCTATTCAATCTCTCTTGTTGGAGGTCTTGCCTCCGTTTTGCCTACTCCCCTGCCTCTGACTCACCCTCATCTGTCTCTGTCCTCTAGAGCCCACAGTGGTCTCTGACCTGTGTGAGCCCTCTTTCTCCTGCTTGCCCTTTTGTCTGAGTCCAGACTATTAACAGTCATGTGTGTCGATCCCACAGTGGGAGTGGGGCCCACAGAGTAGGGTGCAGGATTTGAGAGTTGCTGTTTCTCCAGCTCCTCTGATGTGCCTGGCACGCTGACAAGCACTGTAGGTGCATTATTTAATCATTACTTGCATCTTGTGGTGCAGATGCACACTTATTTTCACATGAAGACAGTGAAGTTGCAGTATGGCCTGTGGCTGGTTACACAGCTTCAAAAGGCTATGGAGGTGAACCGAGAGACTTGAGAGGCCCTGGAGAAAGAGCTTTGGATCCCTACAATGTCCAGAGTTGGTCACAAACTCAGCCTGGTTTTCTTCACCTCACCTCACAGCCCTCCAAGGCTTTAGACATGCCATGATGAGCCCCACCCTCAGATGCTCATAGAGGCATCCTGCCAGGTACAATATAGACCAGAATCTGGATTCTCTGCTTCCACTTCAGCAGGGAGGAGACAGGGTCATAGCTCTACTTAAGGTTCACATGCTAAATAGCCAGAATTTGGACTCAGGCCTTGCATTAGAAGCCAAATTCTTAAGCCAGTAAAGCATATATTACTGAAGAACCAAAAACATCTAGTCCTTCTTGTTAAATGGGGCTGGCTTTCCCTTTGGGAAAACTCCCTTTGTCCTAAGACAGCTCTGTGAGGAGGCAAGAATGAACTGGGTCGCTGGGAACTTTAGGGTCCAAGGTGGGCAGCACATCTTCTAGGGCCTGAGGCCAGAATCTCCAGAGATGGTGAGCCAACCAAATGCCTTCCACCATGGATCTGGGCACAGGACCATAAAAGATGCATTCCTTGCCTCCATGGAGCTCTAGGACTATTAGACAAACATGTCCCTTTGGGTGTCAACACCAATTCCTATAGGGTGGAGAGCCCAAAGGTAGCTGTGTTTCACTTGCTCTTGCATCAGCATCCCCCAGTTCTAACCCACACTCCTCTGGTCTCCTTTGGCATCTTGTCCCATTGGTTTTTCTCTCTCTTGTAGGTCTCTCTTCCCTTCAACCTTTGGTCCCTAAAGCTTTCAACCCCCTGCTTCCACCACTGTTCTCTGAAAGACACCAAAATTACCCATAACTTTTAGGCTTCCTGTGTAGGGCTGCACTAGCTGCTGAACTTTTGTGCAGGGCAACAACCCTCCATGGTCCCCACAAATTCTAGTACTTTCTCTTATTGGGACCCAGTGTTGAGTTTCCTTAATCAGAGAGCGTTTTTTTTTTTTTTAAGATTTTATTCATTCATGAGAGATGCAGAGAGAGAGGCAGAGACATAGGCAGAGGGAGAAGTAAGCTCCCTGTGGGGAGCCTGATGTGGGACTCGATCCCAGGGCCTACTCCCCATCATGACCTGAGCCTAAAGTAGATGCTCAACCACTGAGCCACCCAGGAACCCCACCAGAGAGCTTTTGAAGTGGTTCCTAATACCAGCCTCTATCACTCATTTCCATTCCCTGCTGTCTTTTTTGGAGTCCTCCAATCCAATCACATCAGATAGTGTTTGAGTTTCCTCTCCAGCAGCATTGGGAAGAAGATGGGCCCTGCCCCAAAGGGTTCACAGAGAGGCTGAGGACCTTTATGAGACTGCATCTGGAATCTGTTCTCAGAGCAAAGGCTCCACCAGGTCCCAGTGACTTTGGAGAAGTGATTCGTGTCCAGTCGGTTCCTTTTCTCTCACTCGACGATCCTTCTCTGATGCAGTGAGCACTAATGGCTAGAAACCAAGACTTGTGGAGGTTCACTGTTACTTGGGGTACACCTCAGAGGAGACCGTCAGGAAGCATCCTTCGATAGTTCAGTAAGTCTGCTTGGGTGTTCTAGGGTCAGATTGCAGTTGATGGAGAGAATGGATAAACCAGAGGTCATTTATAAGCTGGACCTTGAAAAGAGAATTGATTTGTGTAGCAGAGAAAAATCACTCCGTGCAAATCTTCCAGCCACCATCACCACACACAACTGCACCCGTCGTCAAAAGCTCCGGGGAGAGGGGGGTAGAGCCAGGAGGTCGGGAGCCCTAGGGACCACCTGATGGGGCAGAGACTGAGGGGACCATTAGGGTACTGAGGGGGGGCCTGGGTCTCAGGGCTTCTGAAGATGGTGGGTTTTGGTGGGGATCTGAGAAATCTCAGGATTTCTGAGAAGGAAGGGGTGGTTTGAAGGAGGAGTGGGGTTCTCTGAAAAGTGGGGACTGGGAAGAGATGTGGGCTCCTGAGGAAGTGGGGGCATCTGAGTGGAGACCTGTGAGGAGTGAGGACTCTAAGGAGGAGTGGGAGCTCTGCAGGGGAGTGAAGGGCTCTGCGGCGGTGTCGGCGGGGCGGTGGACTCAGACTTGAGGGTCTCTGAGAAAATGCGGGACCTCTCTGAGGGGGGACAGGGGCTCTGAGGAGACGTGAGGGCCCCAGGAAGGATTAAGGTCCCTAAGCGGGAGTCCTTGCTCTGAGCAGGTGAGGAAGGCGGAGATCTGAGGGGTGGAAGGAGGGTGTGGGTGCGAAGAGCCGTTGCCTCGGCGACTCCCAGCCCAGTCCTGGGCCGTTGAGGGGAGCTGTTAGGGGCGCGTCTGTGGGCGGGGCGCGGCGGCCCGGGCGGCGGCAGTTGGCTGGCGGAGCCGGCGGGGCGTGTCGTGGGCGGGGCGCGGCGGCCTGGCTGGCGGCGGTTGGCTGGAGGCAGCGGCGAGGGGTGGGGTCTGGGCGCGCGCGCGCACAGCGCGCGGGGGGCGGTGGTTGGCTGCCGCGCCCCTGTGAGCGCTCCAGGCCCGGCGGCACCGAGTCAGCGCTTGCCCGGCCCCGCCGCCCATGGAGTCCCCTCCGCGCCCGCAGCGCCCCGCGCCGCCTCCCCCGGCCCCGCGCCGCCCGCCGCCCGGGCCCCCGCCGGGCCCCGACACAGGCGAGGTCCTGCAGCAGATCATGGCCATCACCGACCAGAGCCTGGAGGAGGCGCAGGCCAGGTGCTGCGCGGGCTCGACGGGGGCGGGGGCCGGGGCCACCCAAAGTGGCGGCAGAGAAGGGGGCGGGCCCAGGGGTCAAGGCCAAGTTGACTGGAGGCTGAGGGGTGAGGAGGGTGCAGGGTGAGAGCGTGAGAGGGGAGATGTGGGGGCTCGGGGAGGGCTGAGGGGGTCCGGGTTCTGAGGCCGAAGGGATTTATGAGGTTAAAATGCGACAGATTGAAAGGCTTATGGGGCCGAGCAGCGGGTGATGGGTTTTAGGGGCCCATCCTGGGGTGAGAGGGATGGGTTTAAGGGGAGTTTGTGGATGGGGAGGTATATGGTGAAAGGCAGTTTTGGGGCTTGTAAAATGTAAGGGTTAAGAGGAAAGAAGGAAGGTGTAAGGGCTGAGAGATGGGATTTGTGAAGGATGGACAGCTAAATGGATGCATTAGTGAGACTTCTGAGGTGGGAAGTTTTGAGAGAGATGATGGAGAGTGAGTTGTGGGCAGTGGGACTTACGTATGAGGAGATGGGGGTGCCTTGGTGTGGGAACCATCAGGAAAAAGGGTTAGTGGAGGAGCTGCTGGGTGGGGGATGGAGGGCCGCCTTTTTATTAACTCAGCAAATATGTATTAGACACTGTGTGGGACACCCAGCTGGGTTGCTGGCACAGCCCCTTCTCTCAGACTCCTAGTAGTGAGGGAGAGAAAGTAGCAAAAACTAAGTATACATTGTGAGAAAAGCTCTGAGAAAGGGGATGGCATGCTATGGGAAGTCAGGTGTTGAGGCGCTTTGGGCCCCCCGGGAGTGGGAAAGAGCTGGAAGAGAAAGCAGAGCCAGAGACTTAAAATCCCAAGTTCAGTTTGGGGAGGGGTTGACACAAGACCACACGGGACCCACAAGTCTTAGGAAGGAGTTTGGATTTTACTTCAATTGCGCTGGGAAAAACCGTAGCAGTTTTAAGACAACCTGTCCTACTTGCTTCCACCCACCACTTGTCAGCCAGCCAGGAACAGTAGAATCGGCTTCACAAGGCAACCCATTGTGTTTGGGGCCTGCTCAAATTATTGGAAAATAGGAAAGGACCAGAGTCCTTTTGGAGGATGGGGCCTATTTGGGTGTAAAGGATGGTCCCTGGGGCTGGGACTAGGGTCTGGTGCAGTTGCTAGAGCCCTCTAGTGAGGAGGGGTTATGCCAAAGCCAAGTGAACAGCAGCCACAGGAAGGAGGAGGCAAAGAAAAGATGGATTCAGCATGCGTTTGTTCTTCTCACTTTCCTTTGCTTCTTGTGGATTGTCCACTTTCTGCAGTTTCATAGCCTCTTTCTGGAAAGTTAAGAGTATTATTTTCCTCCTCCCTTACTATGTTCATTCTACTTTTTGGAGCACTGTGCTAGGTGCTAGAGAAACCAAGTTGGCTAAGATGTTCTCTGCCCTCTCAGACATCATTGAAAAGTGGGGTGTGTGGGAGACTAATTTATAAGTAGTTGTCATAACAAGTGTGTGCTGACTAGAGGTGATTCCTGGCACCAGGGGAAAAAAGAGATGGGCCTAGAGAGGGGGTGCCCTGTGTGATACCCTGTCTGCTAGACTTGTCTGAGAGCAGGGGCTTTGTCTTATTTTCCTTTGTATTCCCAGGACTGTGCACAATGCCTGGCACCTATCATGTAGTAAAGTTTGTGGCACTTCAGATTCTGGAAGGATTAGGAGGAGCTGGGGAGAGGGAAATGGGCTCTTCACACCCAGGAATCACAGAGACAGTGCTTTGGGTGTTTGTGGAGCTCCCTGAGTTCTTTCTGTTCTAGGTAGGGAGCTGCTTAAGGAGTTAGCTCTGCTCAGGTGTGGCCTTCCTCAAGCATCTGTCACCCCATTACAACCCCAAGGTGCACTCTTCTTCTTACAGCAATCCAGTACTCCCCTAGATAGACTTTAGAATGGTGTGCAGTCAGTGACCTCTTCCTTGCTATTCTTGAAGACAGCTTTTTCTTTTTCTTTTAAGGCTAGGACATTGAATAGTGGGGCATTATACATGCATGACAACATGGTTGTTAGGTAGCTGGTTCCTGATTTCTTTTTGAGGTAGAAAGGCCCCTGGGGCTTTTATTTTGAGACTTAGAAGCTTCAGATCTGCCCCCCTTCTTTGGATATAGCTCTAAAAGCCACCCAAGTTCAGACAACAGTCTTCAGTCCTCAGGTGGATCACTTACTCCACTCCAGGCAGATAGCTTGGGTGGGTCTTTTCCTCATAATAAAACTTTGCAGCCTGGTAGATTATCAACCTGGAAGGGGGAGCAGATTGTGTCTGTCCTGATCAACCGACTGGGTGAGGCTTTTGCAAGTCTTTCTGCCCCTGCCCTTTCTTGGTGCACCCTGACCCCTTCATAGCCGTGGAGTCAGTTTAGCTTAACTGTCTAGCAAGAAAGAATTTTTCATCTCACATTCAAGGCCCTTTCAAACTATTTTGTCACTGTAAGTGTGCTTAAAGAGGGAAAGCACACCTATTCTCCTTAAACCAGAATTCTTACTTACGCCTTTCTGCATTATTTGGAAGGCATCTCCAAGTGCTTGTGCATGATTCATTTTGTCATGATAGTCTTGGAATAGTGAACTGTATATTGTTCTTCCTTTGGGCTACACAGTGGACTGTAAGGGACTTTGGAATATTTCACTTTAGTTTAGATTCAGCCCAAGTCAACTGAAGACTTCCTATGTGAGGGATAAACAGTCTTCTTGAATGATCTTCTGACCTTCAGCTATACCCTAAGCTCTTCCTGGAGAAGGTACAGTTCTGCATTTTCTGATTTGGAACCATTCCCTGATGATGAGCTCATCCATTTCTTGTAGGAGGCAAGTCAGGCAGGAAATTTTATCTCATTTGCCAAGGATTGTCTGAGTATTTTGCTCTATCATGCATAGCCTTGTTTTTTTATAATAATAAATTTTACAACATTTTACAGTTTCTGCATAGTTCATTTCATCTGCTTTGGCTACCTTTATGAGAGGTTTAGGAGGGTTATTAGACTAGGGTTGAGGACTCCCTGTCAAAACTGTCAGGCTCAAAGTTCTTCCCTCCTCCCAGGGTTCTTAATGAGTGTATGAGTCATAAAAATCTGTTGTAAGCTCTGGGCCCTCTCTCACTGCCCACCCCCTTGGAGATCCTCAGCTTCAAGTGCCCCACAGCCTGAAAGCTGCCTCTCATCAAAGGCTGGTAGACTCATTTTTTGTCCAGTAGTAATATTTCTAAGAAATTAGTATGAGAAAAAAAAAAGAAATTAGTATGAGAACTCTAGAACTGAGGGGTAGATTTTGGAAACCTGGTAGAGAAAGGAAGTAGAATGGTAACAGTGTTATCTGGAGATCCATACTCCACACCTGAAGTTCTGGGAGAGCAGCTGAAAAAGACTTGTCTTTCTTCAAGTTGTTCTGCATGTTGGAATGACAGGTGAGTTGTGCTGTGTGTTGCTGGATTGGCAGATTTCACTGTAGTGGTCACCCTTTGCTTACAGGTACACACTGATTCACTACAGAGTTGTACAGTTCAATTTGGTAACCACTCACTGTATGTCTTTTCTTTAAAAAAAATTTTTTTTTATTTATTTGAGAATGACAGAGAGTGAGGGAGAGCATGAAGGAGAGGAGAAACAGAGGGAGAGGGAGAGGCAGATTCCCTGCTGAGCAGGGATTCCGATGTGGGGCTTGATCCCAGGACTCTGGGATCATGACCTGAGCTGAAGGCAGATTCTTAACCATCTGAGCCACCCAGGTGCTCCACTATATGTCTTTTTAAGTTAAAATGAATTAAAATTAAATACTCAGTTCCTCAGTTGCACTAGCTACATGTCAAGTGCTCAGTAGCCACATGTGACTAGTGGCTACCATATTAGCACAGATAGAGAACATTTCCATAATTGTAGAAAATACTGGACAGTGGTGCTTTAGAGCAGTTCTCTGGCTGGATATGCAGCAAATTTCTGTGGGAATCTTATTGCAATGCAAGTTCTGATGTAGCAGGTCCCGGTGGGGCCTAATGGGGCCCAAGAATCCACATTTCTAACAGGCTCCCAAAGGTGCCAATGCTGATGATCCCAAACTACACTTGGAGACATCAGACTCTCAAAAGTGGAGATAATAGCATCCCTTTTATTTAAATTTTCATGAGTCAGTTCACCTAGTAGTTGGTTAATCTGACAAAGGAAACTTATCTTCTTGAAGCCTGAGTTGTGTTTGCAGTCATAATAGGTTTTAAGTTAATCACAAGGGTCACTTATTAGCATTGTTTTGCTTACTTAATTTAGGAAGAAAATTATAAATGAAAAAATAAAATTCAAAAAATCGTTGATTTTTTTTCTCTTAATGAAAATCTTGGCTTAAGGCCACAAGACCCTGTTGTTTCAGGGTCTGTTTACATTTTTATTTTTTATTTTTTTATTTTATTTATTTATTTATTCATGATAGACAGAGAGAGAGAGAGAGAGAGAGAGAGAGAGGCAGAGAGGCAGAGACACAAGCAGGCTCCATGCAGGGAACCCGACATGGGACTTGATCCTGGGTCTCCAGGATCACGCCCTGGGCCAAAGGCAGGTGCTAAACCGCTGAGCCACCCAGGGATCCCCTGTTTACATTTTTAATCTAAAAAAATCAGATTGTGGAAGTTTCAAGGTTGTTTCTATATTTCCTTTATAGTGTCTATGAAACCACAGCCTAACATTGTGTTTATATAACTTGAATGCAATAGAAAATGACTGCTGGGGAATGGGAATAGGTTTTAAGGAAAAAACCCTTTATATATAGTGAATAAAGGGATGATGGATAATGATTACTGTCATAACTGTTTAGGAGCAAGCAGTGTGGTATATGGGGTGGTATACTTGAAACTAAAAAGATTATATTTAGAAGTTCACTTTTAGGGGGAGCCCCGGTGGCCCAATGGTTTAACGCTGCCTTCAGCCCAGGGCCTGATCCTGGGGACCCGGGATCGAGTCCCATGTCGGGCTCCCTGCATGGAGCCTGCTTCTCCCTCTGCCTGCGTCTCTGCCCTCCCCCGCCCCCCCGCCCCACGCCTCATGGAGCCTGCTTCTCCCTCTGCCTGTGTCTCTGCCTCTCTCTCTCTCTCTGTCATGAATAAATAAATAGAATCTTAAAAAAAATGGAAGTTCACTTTTAGGCAGCATAATAGGTATGACAAGGGCGGTCATAGCTTTTCTTAGGAAGAAAAAATTTCTCTGAATTTCTTTTTTAACTTGATTTTTACATGTGAAACATGTTAGATACTTTCTAGGAGTAGAAATTTACATGACTGACTTAATTCCTCCAGTATTTCTGCAGATTAACATTGCCTGTAATACAGACTAAATTCTAATTATTAAAGGGAGATGATCTGGCTTTGACTATTCTTAGCACTTACTCAAGTAGCAAGGCATAAACTGTCAACTGAATGGTGTGCCCCTTTTCTAAAATCTGTGTCCCCATATTTAGGACTTCAGTTCTGGAATGCATGTCAGTGAGCATTCAGCTTTCAGCATGCCTATTCAAAGTATGTGGGGAGTCAGAGGAGGAATTTATGGTTTGGAATTTCCCCAAAGCTAGATAGTAATAGCAAGATAAGGTCTACTAGTCCAAACCTAGGAAGTAGAATTAAAGTTAAATTTTTTCTTTTCATCATCCTTAGAAAGGTTTGTTAGATCCCAGTCAGCTTAGTGCCACCACTCTGTTCTTAGCCTGCTTATAGGTTTTAGCTTTGCTCTTAGGGTTAACATGCTTAGCTTAGCTTGGCTTGGTCTAGTGCCAATGGGAAAGTCTTGTGGTCTTTGGAATGTTTTTCCTAAGAGTTGGATTTTGTTGGTTTTAATACAGTTTCCTAAAGCTATCTAAAATCTAGCTAGGGTCACAGCAAAATCCCTTTTGAAGTAGTTTTATTAAGTAAAGCAACATGCAGTGTTTTAGAAAAGTTTCACAAATAAGTAAGTACCCCTCTTTCATTTTAGTGACAGTTACTGAGTGCCTCTGTCGACACAGTGGTTGATGATAATGAAAACAATGGGGACACAGGGAGTTGGTTAAGTGTCTGCTTTTGGCTCAGGTCATGATCTCAGGATCCTGGGATCAAGCCCCACATTAGGCTCCCTGCTCAGCAGGGGAGTCTGCTTCTCCCTCTCCCTCTGCTATACTCCTTGCTTGGCTCACTTGCTCTCTCTCTCTCTGTCAAGTAAATAAATAACTTCTTAAAAATAATGAAAACAATAATGCTGGGATCCCTGGGTGGCTCAGCGGTTTGGCGCCTGCCTTTGGCCCAGGGCGCGATCCTGGAGACCCGGGATCGAATCCCACGTCGGGCTCCCGGTGCATGGAGCCTGCTTCTCCCTCTGCCTGTGTCTCTGCCTCTCTCTCTCTATCTGTGTGTGACTATCATAAATAAACAAAAATTAAAAAAAAAGAAAACAATAATGCTTTCCTTCATTTAAACTTCCCAATAACCCTAGAAAGTGGGTGGTTCTTCACATAGTTTCTAGATGAAGAGCTGGACCTGAGTAAGAACTTGCCTGAAGTCAGACAACTAGGAAGTGGTTGGACAGAGATTTGACTCTGTTCTCTGAAACGCTGGTGCTGACCTGCCACCTTCCCTGATTTTCCCAGAGATTGCCACCACCCCCACACCTGGTTTACTAGACTATGACATCACTTCGTGCTCATAGGAGCTAGAAGGTGATCATAGGCGCTATGAGAAACTGGACAGTTGGGATAAAGCTAAAGATGTTTTTAAAATTTCATTCTTACAGATTTAATCTCATTTACTCAGTAAAATTTCATTTTGTGCCAGGCCCGGGGATGCAGCAATGATTTCCGAAAGCTCACAGTTTCAGGAACAGCAGACATAGGAGAGTGCTATGGTAGTGGGGGGGGGGGGTTAGGGGGGTGGGCAGAGAAAGTGTGACAAGGAATTAGCCAAACAAGGAATTAGTCAAGATTAAGGGAGGCCACCTAGCAGCAAAATGAGTGTGGATGCTAAGACCCTAGAATCTAGCTAAATGAGGCGGGGGGACACAAGCATGCCCCAAAGAGATGACCATGCATCTGGACGCAAAGCTTTGCCCAGGTAGAAAAAGAAGGCACCACGGTCTTGGCTGGGGCAAGCATGTGTGCATGGAAGGCAGGGGGCATGAAGACATGCAATGTGGCTCCATCAGGCACAGTGGAGGGCACAGCTTTCAAAGGGGAACTCAGATGGGGTGACTGCTTGCCTTAGCTGCTGTCTAATGGAGCATGGCCTTGAATTCCTTGCCAAGCAAGGAGTGAGCATAAAGTTTATTCTGTTCCTTGTATAAGTACTTCTCAAAGTATTCAAACCTTTCTAAGGTATTGGTCCTGGTCCAAAGAAAGCTCAATAGTCATTACCTCCTGTCTACCATCTATTCTTCAGAAATGTCTTGAGACACTCATTTATAACCTGTCTTTCAGATTGAGCCCTCCAGGGGTTTGAGGGCTCCTGTTCTTTCCAACTAAAGCAGTTTTCCCTTTTTTTCCATAACCCCCTCCTGCCCAATTCCAGTGTCCTTTGGCCATTATCCTTTTTGATCTTATTTCTCTCTTCTCATGCAGCACTATTAAACCCCTTAACACTTTTCCTCATTCCTAGAGTGGATGAGTGCCCACTGTGTCCTCGGCTTTAGAAAGAGACCAAGACGAGGGGCTCCCAACAGACCTCTGTGGTTCTCTTGGCTTCTGCTACCTTCTTTGATGGTGCAACCCAGCGGTTCTCACCCCAATTTTTGACTTCTCTATTTGTCCAAGTTTAAGTCTGGAGACATCAGAACTCTGCCTTCAAACTTTTTGTTTCTATTCTCTGCCATTTTGACATCTCTACCTTCTACCTCTTCTTCAGTTCAACGAGTCTTTGCTCAGCTAGTGTGCGAAGTATGGTATGGGCCTAGAGTTTCTGAAACCAGTAAGTTGAGGCCTTCCTCATGCCCAGACCAGTCATAGTAAATGCTTTAAAGGGAACAGGGGAAGGAGTAAGGACTCAAAAAAAAAAAAAAAAAAAAAAGGAGTAAGGACTCCAGAATGGGGCAAGCCACCCATCAGAGTCTTACACTTGCCTAGGTGGCTTAGTTGGTTAAGCGTCTGACTCTTGATCTCAGCTCAGGTCTTGATCTCAGGGTTGTGAGTTCAACCCCCATATTGGGCTACATGCTGGGCCTGGAGTCTACTTAAGGAAAGGAAAGGGAGGAAGGGAGGAAGAGGGGAAGACTTTGCTGTACATAACATGACTGTGAGGCAGGAAAGAAGGTCCATAATGCTCCAGCTGTCTAGCAGAAATTAAGTAATAATTCTTATGAACATAAGAGCAGCATGGTAAATAAATAAAAAACATGATTAAACATCTTTTATTGGGGGATCCCTGGGTGGCTCAGTGGTTTAGCGCCTGCCTTTGGCCCAGGGCGTCATCCTGGGGTCCTGGGATTGAGTCTCATGTTGGGCTCCTGGCATGCGCCTGCTTCTCCCTCTGCCTGTGTCTCTGCCCTTCTCTCTCTCTCTCTCTCTCTCTCTCTCTCTCTCTCTCTGTGTGTGTGTGTGTGTGTGTCTATTATGAATAAGTAAATAAGATCTTTAAAAAATAAAAAAATAAACACCTTTTATTTTAGCACCTCCTGCATTTCTTTACTCTCCTTTATGATCAAAGAGTTTGTGGTTGGCTGCTTCCACTTACCCTCCTCCACTCATTCTATCCCACCCTTCTCCTCCCTCTCCTGAGTCACTAGTGACCTCCATGTTGCTAATTCCATGGTCTCTTCTGGGTTCTTCTCTTGCTTAGCCTCTAAGAAGCATTTCTCACAGATTGCTCTTCTCTCCTTGAAACTCTTTTCTTGGTTTCTCCTCAATGGCAGTTCAGTCCCAGTCTCTTCTGTAGGCTTTTCTTGACTTCTATAAGTCCATGGGCCTGGGGCCTGGACCTCTCTCTATGTACACTCTCTTGTGGTGATTTCCTCAAGTCTTGTGACCTAAAGTGCCATCTCTATGCCCAAGACTCCCCATCTTTTTATTGCTTATCTCCAACCTTGAGTCCATGTCCCATGTGCTTGGCTACCTACCTCATACCTCCTTTTGGATAGCTCATAGGTATCTCAAGTTAACCTGATCAAAGCACAGCTCTGTTTTCCAGACCCTTCTTCCCTAAACCTGCTGCCCTCCAGTCATAGTAGTTAATGATATCTCCTTTCATTGGGTTGCTCAGGCCTAAAACTAGTAGTTATTCTTGAATCTCCTCTGTCCCCAAAATCTCACACCACATTATCAGGAGGTCCTGTTGATTCCATCACAGAAGTCAAAGATCTATCTACCTTTTTTTCCTTTTTTTATTAAGTAGGCATCACGCCCAATATGGGACTCAAATTTAGGATGTCAAGGTCAAGTCGCATACTCTACCGACTGAGCCAGCCAGGTGCCCCAAGATGTATCTACTTTTTGTCTACTTCCATAACTCTAAACTAAGCCAGCAGCATTTCTGGACCATTCCAGCTATTATAGCCTCCAGACTGTGTTCCTGGTTCCACCCCTTGCCTTCCATTTTGGTCTCAGAGCAGCCACAGTGATCTTTTAAAAATGCAACTAAAAAAAAAAAAAAAGGCAATTCAAGGGGCTCCTGGGTGGGTCAGTGGTTTAGCGTCTGCCTTTGGCTCAGGGCATGATCCCAGGATCCTGGGATGGAGTCTTGCATCGGGTTCCCTGCAGGGAGCCTGCTTCCCCCTCTGCCTATGTCTCTGCCTCTCTGTGTCTCTCATGAATAAATAAATAAATAAGGATACCTGGGTGTCTCAGTGGTTGAGCATCTGCCTTTGGCTCAGGGCATGATCCTTGGATCCTGGATCAAGTCCCACATCGGGCTCCCTGTGAGAAGACTGCTTCTCCCTCTGCCTGTGTCTCTGCCTCTCTCTCTCTCTCTGTGTGTGTGTGTGTGTGTGTGTGTGTGTCTCATGAATATGTGAATAAATCTTTATTTTTTTTGAATAAATCTTTAAAATAAATAAAATGCAATTCACTTAAAGATAAGTAAATAGATCAATGGAATAGAGTTGAAAATGCAGAAATGAACTCACATATATATGACCAATTGATTTTCTACAAGGGTGCCAAAACCATTCAGTGTGGAAGGAATAGTCCCTTCAACAAATGGTCTGGAAAAACTGGATCTGCACATGCAAAAGGATGACTTTGAACCCTTAACTAACATCATATACAAAAGTAACTCAAATGGATCAAATACCTAAGTGTAAGATCTAATCCTTTAATACTCTTAGAAGGAAACACAGGCATAAATCTTCGTAACCTTGAATTAAGCAATGGGTTTTTAGATATGATGCCTAAAGCACAAGCACCAAAACAAAGAATAGATAAATTGGATTTCATTAAAATGAAAAACTTGGGCAGCCCAGGTGGCTCAGTGGTTTAGTGCCGCCTTCAGCCCAGGGCGTGATCCCAGAGACCCGGGATCGAGTCCCACGTCAGGCTCCCTGCATGGAGCCTGCTTCTCCCTGTACCTGTGTCTCTGCCTCTCTCTCTCTGTCTCTCTCTCTCTCTCTGTCTTTCATAAATAAATAAACTCTTTAAAAAAAAAGAAAAACTTCAATGCTTCAAAGGACACTATCAAGAAAGTAAAAACAATTCACATAATGGGAGAAGAGATTTGCAAGTCATGTATTTGATAAGAGTCTAGCTAGTATCCAGAATATATAAAGAACTCTTAGAATTCAACAATAAAAAGACAACCCCATTGAAGAATGAACAAAATATTTAAGTATTTGAATAGACATTTCCCCAGAAAAGAAGAATGACTGATAAACACATGAAAAAATGTTCAGTATCATTAGTCTTTAGAGAAATGAAAACCAAAACCACAATGAGCTACTATCTCAACACCCACTGTTGTGGCTATAATGAAAAAGACAATAGCAAGTGTTGGTGAGGATATGGAGCAATTGGAACCCTCATAGCCACTGAATTGTATGTGTGCTTTTAAGAGTGAATTTTATGGTATATGAATTACATCTCAAAAAATCAACACTAATAAAAAAATCTAATTTATGTCATGTGATAACTACTCTGTAAAATCTCCATTGCTCCCTGTAATGGTTTTCTGTTGCCACTGTAACAAATAATAGCAGCTTTAAAAAGCACACATTTATTTATTGTCTTCTATTGTAGGTTATAAGTACAACATGAGTCTCTCTGGGCTAACATCAAGGTTTTCAAAGGGCTGCCTTTCTCCTGTAGGCAATAGAGGAAGAGTCCATTTCCAGCTTGTTGATGCCAACTGCATTCCTTGGCTTGTCCTTTCTTCCTCCATCTTCAGGGCCAAAAGCATAGTGTCTCCATGTCACCATCTCTCTCTGACCATAGCTAGAAGAAGTTGTCCACTTTTAAGGACTTGTGTGATTAGATTGGGCCCATCTAAGTAATCCAGGATGATCTCCCCAACTCAGGGTCCTTAACCTTAGTCACACCCAGAGTTCCTTTTTCCCTTGGAACTTGCTCTGAGGATCAGCACATGGACATCTTGGGGAGTCATTCTTCTGCAGACCACTGTTGTCATCACAGGCAAACAAAAGCCAGAGTAATTCCCCTGACTGCCAAGTCTCTTCTAGGTGGCCCCTTGTCTAACTTTACCTCATGGCTCTCTCCCTCACCCTTTACAGCATCCTGGGCTCTTAAAAAGCCAAGTGTGTTGCCTGGGTGGCTCAGTGGTTGAGCATCTGCCTTCGGCTCAGGTCATGATCCCGGGGTCCTGGATCAAGTTCCGCATCCGGCTCTGTGCCAGGAGCCTGCTTCTCCCTCTGCCTGTGTCTCTGCCTTTCTCTCTGTGCCTCTCATGAATGAATAAATAAAATCTTAAAAAAAAAAAAAGCCAAGTATATTCTCACTTAGCCTTTGCACTGGCTATTTCCTCTACCTAAATTATTACTGGCTCTTTCCTCTACCTAAATTATTACTCTCTTCAGCTTGTCTTTTCCTGCCTGACTTTACCTTGTCATTCCAGTCTCAGGTTTGATGACATCAGACACATGCAAACTCTAATAAACCTAGCCATCACTCTGGTTTGTTGCCACAAAGCACCTGCCATGGCTCATGGTTGTCTTGTTTGTGTTTGTGTTTGTGTTTGGTGTCTCTCACTCCCTCTGTCTTAACTACCACACGGGTAGGCACCTTATCTGTCTGTACCTGTGACACTAGAATGATATATGGCACATGGTGGCTGTTCAGTAAACAGCTATTAAATAAATGTGTCATGACACTGGGGTAGGATGGCTGGGGTTTCTGCTTATGCATCAAAGTGCTGCTACAGGGCAATAGTGTGAACACAGACCTTGAAAGTTTATAGCTCTTGATGACTTACGTGCATTATTTAAATTTGCATTGTTTAAAATTCTACACGTAGGGACGCCTGGGTGGCTCAGTGGTTGAGCATCTGCTTTCTGCTCAGGACATGATCCCGGATCCCGGGATTGAGTCTCACATTGGGCTTCCTGCAGGGGAATCAGCTTCTCCCTCTACCTATGTCTCTGACTCTCTTTCTATGTCTCTCATGAATAAATAAATAAATCTTTAAAAATAAAAATAAAACTCTACATATAAAGGCAAATGTTTTGAGTATTTGTATATTGCTCCTTGAATTTTGCAAAATGGAATTTGTATGAAATGCTTCTGTATTGTAACTTCAGAAGAGTGACTTTTTGTTTTAAAGATTTTATTTATTTATTCATGAGAGACAGAGAGAGAGAGAGAGAGAGAGGCAGAGACACAAGTAGGCTCCATGCAGGGGCTTGATGCGGCACCCGATCCTGGGAACCCAGGATCACGCCCTGGATGCTAAAACGCTGAGCCACCCAGGGATCCCTAAGAAGAGCGACTTTCAACAGAACTGGCAGAGGCAGGGTGCCTGGGTAGCTCAGTCTGTTAAGCATCTGCCTTTAGCTTGGGTCATGATCCCAGGGTCCTGGGTTGGGGCCCCACATTGGGCTCCCTGCTTGGTGGAGAGTCTGCTTTTCCCTCTCCCCACTACTCATGGTTTCTCTCAAATAAATAAAATCTTAAAAAAAAAAAAAAAGAACTGGCAGAGGTAATATGAAGGGTCTTTACTCTTGTGGAATAGGATAACTTCTCTTTTTCAACAGCCTCTTCTATTGCTTCTCTTTCAGAAAGCATGCTCTGAATTGCCATCGGATGAAGCCGGCTCTCTTCAGTGTGCTCTGTGAGATCAAGGAAAAGACAGGTAGGCTGTTGAGAGACATTTTTTTTTAATTTTTATTTATTTATGATAGCCACAGAGAGAGAGAGAGGCAGAGACACAGGCAGAGGGAGAAGCAGGCTCCATGCACCGGAAGCCCGATGTGGGATTCGATCCCGGGTCTCCAGGATCGCGCCCTGGGCCAAAGGCAGGCGCCAAACCGCTGCGCCACCCAGGGATCCCGAGAGACATTTTTTTATGGCTCCAGTACCATGACAATGATGCATCTCTGGTCATGACTCAGATATGTGTCATGAGCCATCTTGCCTGTCACATTTCTCTCTGGCAGCGGATGGTTCAGATTCTTCCTTTCTGTCTGTCAGTGCCATTTTCTGATGTATCACATCCATTTATTTTGCAGTTTGTAACTGGAGAAATACTGTTGCCAGTGAGTAACAAGCAGCTGCATTGTTCTTAAGCAAGACCTAAGAGGCACTGTGGTATTCAGTTGTTTTGGAAAAGGAAAAGATGATAGAATTAGAAAAGTAGAATGATGACGATTTTGTTTTATTTGTTTTAAGTATCCAGAGTAATCCCCATGGAAGGTTCTGCCACTGCAAATCCTTTTGTTAAAAAAAAAAAAAAACTATTTTGAATCAATTTTAGATATGCAGAAAATTCGAAAAATAGTACAGCTTGTTCTCCTGCACCCTTCTCCCAGCTTCCTCTCATGTCAACACCTTCAGAACCACAGAGCAATGATCAAAACCAGGACACTGACCTTAGTACAGTGTTCTTTAGCTGAACAACAGGCTTTATTCAGATTTCCCCAGTCTCTGCCCTAATGCCCTTTTTCTGGTCCAGCCTCCCACAGTGCATTTAGTCATCCCTGTTTCCTTAGTCTCCTCTGATCTGTGACGGTTCCTCAGTCTTTCTTCATCATCTGTGACTTTCACACTTTGGTTGGGATCCGCTCTGTCATTTGGTGGGACCGAGATTTGTGGGGACCCATGTAACTTCAAAGAAACACTTCATGATGGATCTCCATGGTGTTGTTTCCAATCCAGGTAGCAGCCAACATTGTATCTGTTGCCTTTACCATCACTTTCCTTTTTCATAAAAGCCAGCCTGGGTTGTATTTCATTCCTGGTTCTTTTACCTGTGAGTACACTTTGTAACCAAGAAGCTTTTATTCTACTTGGCTTACCAAGTCATTATAGTTTGAGTGGTCTACATTTGTTCTCATAGGTTGCTTGTTTAACTTTTTATTTTTTTATTTTTTATTATTTTTTATTTTTTAAGATTTTTATTTATTTATTCATGAGAGACACACACAGAGAGAGAGGCAGAGACATAGGCAGAAGGAGAAGCAGGCTCCATGCAGGGAGCCCGATGGGGGACTTAATCCCGGGACTCCAGGATCACACCCTGGGCTGCAGGCAGGGGCTAAACTGCTGAGTCACCCAGGGATCCATAAAAACAATTTTTAAGGGGCATTTGGGTAGCTCAGTTGGTTAAGCATCCTACTCTTGATTTTGGCTCAGGTCATGGTCTCCCTGTAGTGAGATCTAGCCCCACGTTGGGCACTGCACTGGGTATGGAGCCTGCTTAAGACTGTTTTTCCCTCTCCCTCTGCCCCTCCCTCTCTGTCTCTCTCTCTAATAATAATAATTTTTTAAAAAGAGTAATATAAGCAACCATTGTCTCAGAAAGCTATAGTCCCTCTTTTTTTTTTTTAAGATTTATTTATTTATGATGGACATAGAGAGAGAGAGAGGCAGAGACACAGGAGGAGGGAGAAGCAGGCTCCATGCCGGAAGCCGGACGTGGGACTCAATCCTGGGACTCCAGGATTGCGCCCTGGGCCAAAGGCAGGCGCTAAACTGCTGAGCCACCCAGGGATCCCGAAAGCTATAGTTCTTGATGACCTTTTTCCTAGAGCTTTTCTTGAGAGCTATGGGTGTGCAGTCGGGGCACATCTTTTTTGCTCCATCTGATTCTGTATATGTAAAAATGAGTACAACTGTCCATCACCTTCAAACTCATCAGTTTGAGGAGAATAAGAAAGGACTGATACTTACTGCCACCAGGACAAGCTACGGTATCCATTTAAACCCATGCTGTCATCTGTCCCATCCCTCCAGGCTGCAAAGGCCATGCTTGGGGCTTCTGAGTTGCCCCAGGCTAAATCCCAAGGAAGTCATGGGGCTCAGAGCAAAAGGCACACACATCAGATCTGGGCATTCTTTAGAAAATCAGATTTCCTTTCTACCAACTGGCTCAAATGTTGGACTGCATAATGCGTTTTGGGGCGTGGTAGCACAGGAATGGGGCAGCATTGCTCAGCCTTGAAAAGTGTAGGCCATCTGCAGTTGTCATAAGCTGGGCTCCACATGGGCTGGCTGAGTTGTCAAGTTCATTGTGGCCAAGTGTCTTTTCTCATCAATAGGAAGTACAGCTGTGGGAGCGCTGTGGATCCAACATGTAAGTGGCAGGAAAGTAAACAAGATCTCAGTTCTGCTTCAGCTTCTCCCAATCTTGTGATGGGAATGATCCAGTATTAGCCCAAAGAAAACTATTCAGGGTCCTGATCCAATGGGTCACCACCTTATTGATGATCCTGAGAGACTGACTCTGCGGGGACTCCTCATGCAGGAACAAACCATATCTGCTTCTTGATTTAACCCACATTCCTCACATTCCCCTCTGGCTAAAGTCTGCAAGAGGCCTTTAGGGTAAAGACCAAAACCTGTGTAGAACATTTAAAGTCCAGTGGGCATTGTTGGAGCAGGGGTTGCAGTCAGGCAGCTCAGAGCTTCCTGGCATTATTGCCCCACCCTTCTAGCAGCCTCTTACTTTACTCTTGTTTTATAGATAAGCAGATTGAACCTCTGGAGAGAGCAGGAGCACCCCAGTAGCCCACAGCCAAGCTGTGTGCTGCCTTCCACACCCTGTCCTGGCTCAGAAAGGGAACCCTCCCTGCCTCACAGCCTACATCCACCAGCCCAAGTGCTGTTTCTGTATCCAGTGCCCTCACTGCATTCATGATGGCTCTGGGCCTTTACCTGTCCCCTCCAGTGAGCTCAGAGTCCAGGATGTGCTGTGTTCTAGGACTGTCCTGGTACCTGGCACACAGTGCCATGCACCTTAGGTTTTTGTTAATGAAGAACTGTTCCTGGTGACTGATACCTATTAATTGAAATCTTTTTCATCCTGTTCATTTTATGAGGTTCAGAAAGATTGTCTGGGGCCTGACTTAGAACACAAGGCTATTGTTCATATCATCCTGAAAAAAAAGCCATCTTGTGTGTAAACCCTGTGTTGGCAGACATACCTGGAAGCACTGTCTCACTACCTCACTGCCTTCTACTGTCTCCTCTGGCCTATGGGAGGGATGCTGGCATATCTTCCAGGTCAGGGGTGTCTTGGGCATCCCTGCCTGCAGAGGTCTCTGAAGGCCAAGGACCCCCTAGGAGTGAACCCTTCCCCTTGAATCCTTCCCTTGAAACAGCTGTTCTTGGTGTCTAGAAGAGCTGTCCTAAGAAAACAAAAATAACCATTTTTGGAGAGTTTTTAATTTGGCTGGGAGGACAAAATACTGGCCCAATCCCTTTCTTGAAACCCTTGGGGCTAGATGCATTACAGAATTGAGAATTGTTTGGATTTTAGGCATGTCGTGTTGATGACTTCAGAGACAGAGCCTGCATTCCAAAGGTGACATTTAGCACCAGAACAGGAACATTCTTACACACTGGTTGGGTCAGGGTTTGCCTCCAAATGAACTGAGTGCCAGCTTCTGTAAAAACATTGGATCTTGGATTGTGGATGAGCAGGCAGCTTAGACCTGGTGTACATAGGAAGTGCCTGAAAAGCCACCCGGTGCTTGGGCAGTTGACTCAGAAGGACCTGCTTTGTCTTCTCTGCACTGTCACTGTCCCCTGTGCTGGTCTCAAGCTCACATCTATACCTGGTTTGATCAATCCTATGCTTTCTGTCTCTTGAGGAATCAGAAGTCCTAGAGACCTGGCTTGGCTAGCCTTGTTCTTGGGCCAGCACAGATGGCTGCCTTTCAGAGGAGTAAATGTAAATAATGGATAACATAAGGGAACACCTTGTTATTTTCTGACCACACTGCTCATTGGCCTGGCTAGGAGCTGTCAGGCTTGAGTAATCCAGCGGCTTTTTTACCTTTGTTTTCCTTCCTCGTCAGCTAGTTGGGTCTGTTGCAATTGCAAATTCATGATCGGTAGGTCCAGCCTTATGGTTGGGCTTATCCCAACAATTAATTAGCCTTTAGGCCATTATCAATTGTGATTGATCGATTGATTGATTTATATTTTAAGTGGGCTCCCTACCCAACCTGGGGCCTGAACTTATAGCCCCGAGATCAAGAGTCACATGCTCCACCGACTGAGCTAGCCCAGCACCCCAAGGCTCGGAGTCTCATCAGCCTGTCTCTCCTGTGCAACTGTAGACTAGAGCTGTGGTCCTTCCCATATGCCACCTCTTACCATTTACTTTTATATTTAAGTTAATTATAATTAAAGAAGGCATCCTTTAGCCACACTAGTCACATTTCAAGTGCTTAGTAGCCACTTGTGGCTGGTGGCTTTCATTAGCATAAGTCTAGAACAGTGGAAAAGTTTTATTGGATAGATAGATAATTAGTATATACAAATATATAAATTAGGTATTATGAAAGAAACCCAATGTCCATGATGACTGAAGAAACCAAAATGTGGTCCACCAGTACAGTGGAGTATTACTCAGCCATGAAAAGGAATAACACACTGACACACACTATAACGGGGATGGACCTTGGAAACTTTATGGAGGAAAAAAAAGAAACTTTATGGAGTGAGAGAAGCCAAACACAAAAGACCACATATTCTATGACTCTATTTATATGAAGTGTCCAGAATAGACAGATAAAGATTAGTGGCTGCCAGAGGCTGAGGGGCAAGGGAACAGGGAGTGACAGCTAACGAGGACAGAGTTTCTTTTGGGGGTGGTGAAAATGTTAGGTAGTGGTGGTGGCTGTACAA